GCTCTTCTGAGCAAGAGGAAGGCTTCAGCTGGTTTCTATTCATGGCTACTAGCCATGTCTTAATGAAAACCACACACTCATCAAGGCACAGGTGCCTCTGAATCAACAGAGAACTTGGTTGAACAGGATAGATGAAAGAAGAATTCAGGTTCCACAGATGTGAAGGCTGAAGTCCATTTCAGAAGGTGACTTTAATGCCTATGAAGCGATTCAAAGGGCAAAAATGACAAAGGGTGAGGATAACTGTGATTCAGTTGAATATTTTAATAGGGATGGATACAATTAATATATTGTAAAGCAATTATCAATTTTCATTGAAAACTTATTATTTTAGTGAATAAATTATTGTAGGTCAGCTGAACAAAAAGACAAGAATTGATTAAAGATACTGCAAGTCCACTGAAGAACTCCTCCACTGTTGTAGTTACTATTTTCACTGATACATACTAAAAAATGTATTGTTATGACTCTTACTTCTCCAAAAGTCACAATTGAAAGAGGAAAATCTCCTCCTTCAGAGCAGACTATTCCAATGACTAAGTCATCAAATGACTTACAGTCCATTATCTGGTGGGCAGGTCTTTGGTAAAGGTGAAGCAAATGATTCTTTGCTTTCTGTCAGTGCTCTTGGCTGATGGATAAAAACACTGAACTTGACACCTTGGTTAGCGGCTGCCCTCACAAAACCACTATTGGCGGTCATGGTGATGGCTTTTAAAGAGTCTCCTGTCCCAAAGATGGCTAGAGAGCGGCTGTTGATTTTGGAACTTGCCACTAGTCCCAAGGCACGGTCAGATGGCTGATCTGGCACCACTTTAATTCTTTTCACTAGCAGTGCAGCTCGTTCCTTCTCCCCAGGTCCTCCCAGGGTTTGCAGGATGGACTGGAAGTCTCTAACAGCAGATTCGCATGCAAAGAGTTCTTTCCCTTCCATGAACTCATCCAACTGAGGCAGGACTCTCTCCTGCCTTTCTTGAGCTGCTTGCTCTGTTAGCACTTTCTCTTTGAAGATGAAGTAGCAGCCACCATAACTCAGAGCAGAGACGTAGGTAATTAAGGTAGTGATGTCCAAGTTAACTCTGTTGCACACATTCACTTTGATCTGGGTAGGAAAAGCAACACTGGCCACTAAATTCTCCCGGTCTACTCTGGTCACCTGCAGGAGTTCATGGCCTTCTTCATCTGATTCACTAGCACTTTGGTGTTGGTTTGCTGTAGATGGCTCTAGGAGAGAGTTCACAGCAACAATGTCTCCCCGCACAGATATTCCCATCTCCTTGAGTCTCTCTGCCATGGGACTGGACACGCTGTTGTAGAAGGCAAAGATTATGTGGGGATTACTGTACTCCACTGGCTGCTGACAGCTCGCTCGTAGGAAGTCCTCTGCCTGCTCAATGATGCTTTTGTCACCATACTGGCCCCGTCCCAGCCAGATGTTATGCAGGGCCTCAGCCTTCCGGCCGATAGCCTTCACCCATGTGTGACCTCCATTCGCAACGACATCAACCACCAACGTCTGCTTGTCGCCGAACCTGTCCTCATAGGCAAAAACGTGGAGGACACTGACAACATCCTCCAGGTTCTCTGCTGACTGAATAATGGCTTGGAGGTGGGTAAGGTTTGTGCTCTGCAGGTGGGATTGTTTAATAGCCACTTTCCCTGCCTCCACCTTGCGTAAGAAATTTAACTCAGCCTTCAGCTTGCTGCACAGTTTTGCCCCACCTTGTATATTCCCCTTCTGGGACTTGCAAAGGGCTTCAGCTCTCTTGATTAATTCTTTGGCAACAGCGATTCTTTCATAAAGCAGGGACTGCACAGACATGTTGGTAACATTATTCCTATCAGGTACAAGCAGAAGAAGAGTGTTACTGCACAGTGAGGCACAAAGACAACCAAAATAGGTTTTACAATGGTACATCCATCAGAGCTTTGCAGTAGATTTTGTACAACAGATAGCAGCATTGTAAAGCACAAGCAACAGGAACCTCACCACCACTCCCAAGGTGCTCAGTAGCTTTTTTTTAATACCTTTGGGGATCCAACCCAGAGGACCCATTCCTCAGAGGACCCAAGTCCTCAACAACACTCGTATCTCTGCAGATGCCTTGGAAGATTCTCTTCGGCACACCTGAGCCCTTAACAGAGCTAGTCGCTAGTAAGATCTCAATGATTCTCCAAGTTCATTTGCAGAAGCTGCCATTTTGCCAGAGCAAAATCTGAAATCCTGTTATGCCCTAAGCAAATCTTGCCTGTCTCTCCCACCAAGGTTACCAATACAAAGGAAAAGCTATGCAAAATATCTAAGGCTTCTATAAAAACTATGAAGTCTGGCTCCCAGCAGCTATTTTAAACAAAGCATTCACTGAGCAACACGGCCCTGTGCCCCTGCAGCTTTCAAATTACTCTGCAGAATCCAGCAAGGAATAGAATATGTCTTGTTCGTAGGTTCAGACAAGTAAACTTATATGCTATATAGCAACATGGAATCCCAGTCCTTTCCATCCACTTCATGTCTCCCTGAGGTAAAAATAGGAATTACTTAATTAAATGCAGGCTGGCTTGGAAAAAAATGTACTGCTAAATGCATCAGAAAAAGAAAACAACAACAACAACAAACTTCTAAAGCCACACTAGCCACTAAGAATACTTCAATTGGGAGTCAAAAGGTATTCATTTCACCATACACATGCATTGTAATTTTTGGCTGAACTGCACATCAACTGACATAGACTGGCATTAAACGGCAAGACAGACAAGACTCCAGCTTAATCTGCATGGAAGTATAAAGCCTAGGTAAAAAAAAAAAAAAAAAAAAAAAAAGATTCTGCCAGTACAACTTCTGAACCTGAGTTTATCAGGTAGCTGAAACCACACCTGCATTACCTGCAAATGCAGATACCCTGTGCACTAGGTCCTACTGGCTCCATCAACACTTAACCCCAAAAACACACAGCCCGAGCTCACCCAAAGCTCTTAAATGAAAGCAAACCTGAAACGCACAGTACTTTATTTTCAACAAAAGAATTGCAAACATGGGATGACTTCACTCTTAAAACTAAAAGCTGCCAGAAAAGATACACGTGGTTTTTTTTGGGTTTTTTTTTTTTTTTTCCCCTTCAGCGGGCAGTGTTCA